AATGGTGTGGCAATTATAGAATTATCGCCGGCTAAGTATAGCAGTTAATAGCTTTCACGCAAAAATTATACAGCCAGTGACGGAGGACTTCCGTGCTTGCGTCGAAAATTATCAAATTACAGACGAGAGATTATGGAACGAGATTATTCATGACTGATAATTATGTTATTACACAAAAATTATAGATCTATGATACTGGACTGCCTGAGGCTCTAATAATTATAACAGTTATGCTATTATAGATCACGTGTAATGATTTCCAGTAATTGTGTAATGTGTCTCGAAGCTGGGGGAGATTTTTGATCCGAGGAAATTGAGCTAAACACGTAACAGTCATACAGTGTCTGGGGGGGAGGATGGGAGGCAATCGGGTCTGATCCGAGGAAATGGAGATTAGCTCCAATTCCTCCCATCAATAGCCTCATGTATATCGCAACAAGCTACATACACACACAACACAAACACACAAAGCACACACAAACACAAAAACACACAACACACACACACAACACATACACAAAACACACACAAAGATCTCACAGAACTAGAACAACATTGCTTATCAATTAAGATATTATAGCTCTCAATGAACTCAGCATTTTAAAACCATTTTTATTAGCCTGTCCGGCCACTCTGCTTAATGAGACTCTCGTAATGTAAGAAATCTTCCCCACAACCTTTTCTGAATATTAATACAATATTCACGATCTTCCCGTCTTCTGGAAGTGCACACTGAGAATTCTCCACAGGCAACTGACTTGTTACTAACACTTTCTCACAACCCAAGGTAGTGTGCGATTTGGTCACTCTTGCTTTTTTCCCTTATTTCCCCGGCTTTCGTGGCGTTTCAGTTGTGTTATTATATTCATTCGGAAGCGCTAAAACAACAGGGGTCACAGAGCGCCCTCGAAATGGGAGGAAATTAGATGTGATCGGACGGGGGAAGGGTAGCTGTTTCAGTGACTCGTGAAGCCTTCGTCAAGACGATATACTTGAAGGGAGTTTCAAAGATATTAGTTTTATTCGCTACTCTTCCAGAAAATCTTCGTATGAAACACAAAATCCTCATTCATTATTAAAAGCTTCATTCCCACTTCTAAAACTATTGTAACTTTATTTAGGCATAGGTACACAAGTACAATTATCATATAATGTAAATTACTCACTAGGATAACCCAAAAAAAGTCAAACTGAATCATTTTTCCATTGGGGTCGTTATAACTATTATACAGTGTCTTACATTGCAAGCTGAAGGGCCAGCTTAGAACATAAGAACATAAGAACGAAGGAACACTGCAGAAGGCCTTCTGGCCCATGCGAGGCAGGCCCAAGTCTCCTACCAGCTTAAGCCAATGCACCATAACCTAGTCAGGTCAGGTCACATTGACTTAAGGGAGGAACACGGCAACCAGACCTGGTAGCACAAGCTATCAGGTCCAACTCACACCCACCCACATCCACTCATGTATTTATCCAACCTATTTTTAAAACTACACAACGTTCTGGCCTCTATAACTGTACTCGGGAGTTTGTTCCATTCATCCACAACTCTATTACCAAACCAGTACTTTCCTATATCCTTCCTGAATCTGAATTTTTCCAACTTGAAACCATTGCTGCGAGTCCTGTTTAGGCTAGATATTTTCAACACACTATTTACATCCCCTTTATTTATTCCTGTCTTCCATTTATACACCTCAATCATATCCCCCCCTAATTCTACGTCTTTCTAGAGAGTGCAGATTCATGGCCCTTAGTCTATCCTCATAGGGAAGGTTTCTGATACATGGGATCAACTTTGTCATCCTCCTTTGTACATTTTCCAGAGCATTTATATCCATTCTGTAATACGGTGACCAAAACTGTGCAGCATAAGCTAAATGAGCCCTAACCAAGGATGTATAGAGTTGAAGAACAACCTGAGGACTCCTATTATTTATGCTTCTTGATATGAAGCCAAGGATTCTATTAGCTTTATTGCGAACACTTATGCACTGTTGTCTTGGTTTCAGATTACTGCTAACCAGAACTCCTAATCTTTTTCGCAATCCGTAATATTAAGATCTACATTATTTAGTTTATATGTGGCATGGTTATTGTCCTGTCCAAGTTTTAGAACTTTGCATTTGTCTATATTAAACTGCATCTGCCACTTCTCCGACCACTGCATCAGTCTATTCAAATCTTCCTGGAGTGCTCTAATGTCCTCGTCAGAATGAATTCGACGGCCTATTTTGGTGTCATCGGCAAACTTGCCGATGTCGCTCTTTATGCCTCATCTATGTCGTTTATGTAGATATGGTTCCCATGCAGGGGGCAAATACCCCGGGTAACCAAGCTTGGGTATCCCAGCTTGATTCACAAAATTTGAAATTCTCTGGATATTTGTCAAACATGCGTACCGATGAAAAAATTGTTACTTGTCTTAGTATATAATGTAATAACTTTTCTCAAGTATCATGATTGACCCTAACAAAAACTCAAAAACAATATACACATATAATATACAGTATTATAGCAATTGTGAAACCAAAAATTTTAAATATTGCTTAAGGCAGAAAGCTCCTTGTCAGAACCAGCTGAGATTGTTGATTATTTTGCTTTTCAATGGGCTCGCCTCGTTCACACTTAGTTCCATATGTTCCACTACGAGGTAGGCTAGTGGTTATGTTGTGGACCCCTGTCACCTGTTAGATAATTACCACGCTTTGCAATTTTCACTTATTGGCACATGTCATTTTATAATGTAATGTGTTAATATAGCCAAAGGTTTCTACAGTTAATTCTTTACGACCTTGAACGTTCCAGTCTTTGCCATTATATTAATAATTTAACATATTTTTGAAGGGAACATGCTTTGTGGCCATAATTAATTGGGTAACAACGTCTGAAAAGTTTATCATGTTGAGATTGTGTATCCCGTGGAAAAAATCACACCCTTAACCGTCGTGGTACCGGAAAGTTCACATTGGATTAACGCACTTTAGTCACACCTCTGCGCCACTGAGTTTGTCAACGCAATGCCTCTAACATGGAAAAACTGTCCTCCTATCCATGTGCTTAATTTTCCTCAATATCTTGATGTGGGAACCCGTCAAAAGCCTTACTGAAGTCCATATACACAATATCATATTCATTACCATGATCTACCCCCTCAAATACCTTAGTGAAAAAAGTTAATAAATTCGTAAGGCAGGAACGCCCCTTTGTAAAAACCATGCTGAGATTCGTTGATTATATTTATGCTTTTCAAGGTGGCTACGAACTGCCTCGGCAATTATTGATTCCATAAATTTTCCCACTATGGAGGTTAGGCTTATTGGTCTATAGTTCGAAGCTAAGGACCTGTCACCTGCTTTAAAAATAGGTATCACATTTGCCATTTTCCACTTATCTGGCACCATGCCAGTTTGTAGTGATATGTTGAAAAGATTAGCCAAAGGTTTGCTAAGCTCCTCTTTACATACATTTCATCAGGGCCTGGAGATTTGTTAGGTTTTAATTTATCTATTTGCCTAAGGACCATGTCACTTGTGACCCTAATCGTGCACAGTTTATTATCGTCCTGTTCTACAAAATATATCATTTCCGGAATATCGCTGGTATCCTCCTGTGTAAAAAATTCTACACATTTCCTTATCACTGTCAGTGAGCTGACCCGAGGAAAGTTAACTTATGGGCATTAAGCGTGACTCCGTGGTCACCACTATGGCATCACTGAAGGCTCTTGACTCACGTAATGACTGACAACACTGGAGGAGCCTGGTACACACACAAAGAACTTAAAGCAGTGAATCATACTAACATTCCTACCCAATAATGTTGATAATGTGAACCAAAAAGGGGTTTAGTAAAGTCTTGCACACAACCCAAACATAGGAGAATGAAACTTATAAAGACGTTTGGAGTCCGACTTGGACCATGAAGTAGTCACACACAGGAAGGAAGGGAAGGCAGCCGGTATACATACGAGAGCAGAGTAAATTACATAAAAGTAGGTAACCACATTTATGGAGCTGTTTGTGTTGTATACGTAGAGATGTGCATGTGGGTGCTAGTTCCCAGTTGTCACAGGCACTTGTCAATAGACATTTGGCCGTGTACTCGCCTATTTGTGGTTGCAGGGGCCGATTCATAGCTCCTGGCCCCGCCTCTTCGCTGGTCGCTACTAGGTCCACTCTCGCTCTGCTCCATGAACTTTATCGTGTGTGTGTGTGTGTGTGTGTGTGTGTGTGTGTGTGTGTGTGTGTGTGTGTGTGTGTGTGTGTGTGTGTGTGTGTGTGTGTGTGTGTAGGAAGAGTGTATGAGTGGGTGGATGTATACTCAAGACCTGGTGTATTGACAGAAGCAGCAGCCGTCCCCACAAGTACCTAGTGGGGACGGCTGGCGACTCTCCCACTTTTACCTGCCTTTCTTTTAACCCCCCTTTACCCTAGTTTCCTCTCTCCTTAAACTGCGCCCTCTCTCTCTCTCCCCTCCTTTTCAAGGGAGGTTCCTTGATGCTGGTGAGGGGTTTTTGATCTAGGGAATTGGATCTGTGCTCCAGTTCCCTGAATTGATCCTGAATGTCTTCCATCCCCTCCTCCCACATGCGCTGTATAATCCTCGGGGTTTAGCGCTCCCCCATGATTATAATAATAATAATAATAATCTCTCTCTCTCTCTCTCTCTCTCTCTCTCTCTCTCTCCCACGTGTCCTCCTATTTGTCTACCCACACTAACCCTCTATTTCAAACACACTCATCTACACACACTCTTCACTCAACATACATCTAAGCATTTTCGTAACCTCTAATATCACTTCCTCGCCCTCCCTCATTCCAGCCACTTTCCCAGAGAGAGAGAGAGAGGCAGCATCAAGGCACACCCTCCCCCATCCTGCCTTAAAACCTTCAAATGTTAGTAAACAAAAACAAAACGCCTAAAAATTAAACTCGGTCAACTAGCGTTACACTAGACAACAGGCGACAAATCTGTACGGCGAGTGTGAGAGCACCTACCTGACGTAGTCCCTCTTACAGTAGGTCTTGCCGTCCCTGACGAAGCAGGTGCAGTACTCGTCCAGGAACTGGTGGCAGTCGACACACTTGAGGCAGGCAGCGTGCCACTCCATGTCCGGTGCCACCCGCAGGATGTACTGGTCGTGAATCACGCCTCCACAACCTATACACACTGACACTCTCCCGCCTCTCTCCG